TACACCTGCGTCTGCCTCTGTTCAGCCTCAAAAGAACAGTAACCGAGGGGGTTTTCAACAGTGGCACGTAAAATGTTTTAGCTGAGGAGCTGGTCTGTTAGCAACTATCTGTTACTGATGCAGTAACAACTTCTAAAAATAATTTTCTCCAGGTAGATACATGATGGAAAACTTAGTGTTTAACTTTGTTTAATTCAAGTTATTGCTAGGATCTTCCTGCTATTGAGGTCTTTAACAAGTACATTCGAGAAGTGACAGGCTCTCTTTTTAGGTAGCAGCATATTGTGTGGTTCATGTGATAATCTTGAGGTTTAATAGTTTTTGAACAGGGCAGTTTGCTTTCTTACTTACTGCTGACCAGGGCGATGAGACTGCAGCCTCCACAAGTGCATGGGTGGCTCCAAACTGGGGGGCAGGGCTGCTGTTCTGAGGGACCCTCAGGGATCTGGGGAAATGGGCGAGAAAAAAACCCGTGAAGCTCAGTGGAGGCAAATGCAGAGTCCTGCGTGTGGGATGAAATAATCTCATGCAGCATGACAGGCCAGGGGCTGACTGGCTAGAAAGCAGCTTTGCAAAACGGGACCAGGGAGTCCGAACAGGTCGTATGTGAATCAGCACTGTGCCCCTGTGGCAGTGAAAACCGACAGCACACCGGGCTGTGTGAGCGAGTGTGCGTTAGCAGGTCAAGTGAAGTGATTTCTTCCCCTCTGCTCAGTGCTCCTGAGAGGCACTGTCTTTGGCTGGGGCTTCCCAGAGTGGGAAAAATACCGACAAACTGAAGTAGGCTCAGTGGAGGGGCCATGAGTCGGTCAGGGGGCTGCAGTCTGTGGTGTACCAGGGGAGCCTCGAAGAACTGGATTTGTCCAGCATGAAGAGGAGATGATATGGAAAGGGGTCTCATGGCTCTCTTCACCTGCCTAGAAGGTGGCTATAGAGGATGGAGTCAGGTTCTTGAAGTGAAAGGATGAGAGGTTATGGAAGAAGTTCCAGCAAGTGAAGTTCTGATGAGATAGAAGAAAACATCCTTCACAGTGGAAGTGGTCAAACAGCAGAAAAGGGCCCAGAAAGGCTGTGGAATCTCTATCTTTGGAGATATTCAGAACTTGACCGGACAAGGCCTCGAGCAATCTGAGCTAGCTTTGAAGCTAGCCATGCATTGATCTGGCTTTGAAGCTATCTGTTCTTTGAAGTAGCTGTGAAGTATCTAGGGCCTATGATTTCAATGGCTTTCAATTTATAAAGCATTTTGAGATATCCTGAGATGACCGACTGCTTAAGTGTGCTTAAATATGCCTTTTATCTGTTATTACAGAAGCCCATTTAGGTACAAGACAAAATTCTGCCTAGGAAATCAGGGGATTAAAGTTAAAAACCAAGCAAGCCATGAACTCTGAATACTTTGATTCTGTTAAAATGCACTTGCTTTGATTCTTTTTTTCAAATTGTAGGAAGAAAAGAAGATTCTCTTTTATCACCCAAATGAAGTAGAAAAGAATGAAAAAATTAGAAATGTGGGACTATGTGAAGCTATAGTACAATTCACAAGGTATGAAGTCTGATTGCATGGCTCGTTGTGTTAGCACAAGCACTGCATTTTAAATTTCCCAATTATATGTTTTCTTTTTGTGAGTGTGTATAAATATCTATGTCTACGTGTATGTTTTCTTTCCAGGACCTTTAGTCCAACAAAACCTGCAAAATCCCTACATACACAGAAGAATAGACAATTTTTCCATGAACCTGAAGAAAACTTCTGGATGGTCATGGTACTTATGCATGTGATATGCATATTTCTAAAACATTATATCGCAATGTTCTCAATGCATTCTGCATTGTCTAATACCAGCCTGTTCCACTTTCTAGGTTGTACGGAATCCCATAATAGAAAAACACAAAGATGGAAAGCCAGTCTATGAGTATCAGGAAGAAGAATTACTGGTAATACTGAACTTTTTCCCTTTTTTTTTTTTTTTTTTTTTTTTTAATAGGTTATATTGTATTTTAGAGTACCTCCAGAAATTTGATTCTTTTGAGCTGCTGCCAAATTTATTTTTCATATCTATCTCCATAAATGGAAAAATGGCAAAGTACTTTTCAATAAAGTTTAAAGAAGAGACCATGATAGAGAATTATCCAAATAGCAGTTCAAGATCACCCAGTAAACATCAGTGAAATGTACAGCTGTGAGACTTTTAACTTGGTACACAAGAATATTTCTTAGGATCTGTTTGTTTAATAAAGTTCTTGCAAGACTTTAAATCTATGTTATTTTTATTAGGTTTAAGCGTACACGTTACTACTTTCTTAAAACTGCTAGCAATCTTTACTCAGCTGGAAAAACAAAGAGCTCTTAACTATCCTGGGATTTCTTGTCCAAATTGCAGTATCCTTAGGTCAGTTTAACTATGTACAGGAAAGGTATTTGGCTGGGTGGGACAGAATTTTAAAAGCTGGTTGCTTATGCTACCTCCATTCATTAACTAGTTCTGTTCCTCATTGTGTTCTAAGGATTGGTGTCATAGGTGCTCTATTTTGCCAGACAAACAATAAAATAGTCTCTTTTTCATCTGGGTTAAGATCCTGGCCCAATAACAACCTGCTGTTGTGTCCCACCTCCTTTAGCCTTTGACCTGGCTGAAGACAAACCTAGTCAGAAATAAGTTCATTTTCACTGACCGCTGGCCTTAGGGAAGGGCACTATTTGTAACCAGTATCTTGTGCATGAGTTAATCAGGTGCTTTTGGTGTTAAATGTAAGGGGGGAAGGACTGCCTTTATTGAAATATAAGTACAGAGAAATTTCTAGATGCTGACTGAAAATGCTATTTAATTTTTCAGAGATTGGTTTCTCTAATTTGTGTGTTTGCTGGCTCTTTGAAAATGTATGTGTAGCTCAGGCAAAATATTTTAAATTCTGCCTCTGCTTATACTAGTGTCTTGCTCTCTTTTCTGCAGGACAAGGTTTATAGTTCGGTCCTACAGCAGTGCTACAGCATGTACAAGGTAGAGTTAATACTAGAGGTTCCTCCTCTGGGCAGAGGAAGAGATCCTCATGGTATCATTTGGGTGTGCAACCTCATCATTGCTTTGACATTCTTGTCTCATTACTATTGTCTGTGCTCTTCTGAAGCTGTAATAGTGATGGAAGAGAAAAATAAAGCTTTTGCAGTAACCTGTGCTGGTTCATTAGCTTATTGTAAAAATAAGAGCTTTCTAATTTCTGTGAGGTCCAGATTTCTTCTTTCATGGGCAGTTACACTACTAAGCATTTGATTTTTTCGGTGTTAGATATTATCTGTTGGAGAAACAATACTGGCTTTTACAAAGCAAGAGCATAAGATACTTAAGCAAAACAGATAAATTATTTAATGGTAGAGAAATTATTTAGTTTCCTTTTCTATCTAATTCTGCCTCTGCTGCCAGATATACCTGGCCTCTGCAAATATCAGAGAGGCTTTTTCAATAAAGAAGCAGTGCATTTGGATGTATGTGGAGTCCAAATACTGAGAAACAGGAGCTGTATTGTAATCTAGCTATATTCATGGCCAAGTTATAAGAAATTGTTGTAAATTATTATCCAACTGACGATTTTTAATTTTTTTTAAACTATTAGCTTTTCAATGGCACATTCCTGAAAGCCATGGAAGACGGAGGTGTAAAAGTTCTAAAGGAGAGACTAGAGAAATTTTTCCATCGGGTAAGACCTTATTTTTCAGACACATACAGTGTGATTCTGTGTTGGAAATAAAATGCAAAAATCTTCTCTAAGTGGCTGCAAAGGAAGGTAACACTGCATTCAAACTAGATTGCACAGGGCTTTGGCTAGTCGAGTCTTGAAAATATCCAGGGATGGAGATTCCACAACCTGCATGCACGGACTTAAAGTCCCATAGTACTGTGAAGTAATGAATAGTTGTAATTTTTAACTTCTCCTCCCCCGCCCCACCCCCCATGTGGAATTAGTACTTGTGCCTTGGAAAAAACTAGTCGGGAAATACTGCCTTGCTTCTATTTAGTCTTCAGAATTTAATTTAAGTTTTTAATAGCAAATATTTTAGTGACAGGATGGAAAGCAAAACCTATTTCTGATCAAGAAATTGATCAAATAGTACTTGGGTGTTTTTCAGATAATGTAACTGAGTAGTCAGTCATGTCTGGCAGGATTCTAAGTTTCTACTTGAAAAGTTCCATCAAGCCAGCTTTAAAAGATGGCAATCAAGCGTCTGTCTGCCCCCATTTTTCTCGTTTGCACAGAAGGAAACAGAAACCTGCTGTCAGCAGTTAATTCTCTTGTGGTAGAGATGTGAATATTGATTTCTCTGATAATGATGGAGTTTATATACTGTATACTGGTGTTTAAAATTTTGTTTTCTTAACAGGCTTTTAAAATAAAACAGTTGTGACACTGTAAACAAAACTGAAGTTTGATTTTTTAGGACAGCGATCGCTTGTGGGTTTTGGGGGGCTTTTTTGCTTGTTTTTGTGAGATGTATCATAGACTCTAGAATGGACACTGTTGGAACAAGGAGTATTTATTTGATTAGCTGGTGTATACTTCTGCCTAGACTAAATTAAAAAAATAAAGCATGGCAAAAAGGGAAGTAATAGATTTTTATCTTTAGAACATTATTTTTCTTTGAAGTTCATACTTAAGATGAAACAGTAATCTCTAGAGATTTGTATAACAAAAATAAATCCAATGAAAAGTTGTTTCTCTTTTTTGCTGGGGAATTAGAAAAGCTTAAAAAGTTTGGTCATGCACATTGTTCTGTTATAACCCTGTTGAATGAATTGGCTACGTGTTGCTGTCAGGCTTGGACTGCACTGAAACTCTGAAAGGAAATGAGGTTTAGATTATAAACTGTGACAGAGATCTGTCATACTATTTGTCTGTAAGTATTTTACTTGGTTTTTTTGGTAATGTGAAATGACTGTAGAGGGAGCCATTGGATAATCCATCTTTCACAGAGGAGAGCATTTGATGGTGCATTTGAAATCTCTTGAAAAAGGTTACAGTCTATCAAGAAAGAGAATGAACAGAGGCTATATTTCCTTTGCATGTTTAAAACTAATGGACTTATCTGCTGATATTTCTATGTAGTTAGTTCTGAAATTAAATATTAGTAAGGCTGTGCTTTCTTATCCTCTCAAAAGATCCTATTAGCCTTAAAAGCTGTTGTCACTATGATTAAATAATAGCAAGCTGACATCTGGAATAATATTCACGTATAGAATCATAGAGTGGTTTGTGTTGGAAGGGACCTTTAAAGGTCATCTAGTCCACCTCCCCTGCCATGGTCAGGGACACCTCCCACTAGCTCAGGTTGCTCAGAGCCTCATCCAGCCTGGCCTTGAACCCCTCCAGGAAAGGGGCATCTACCACCTCTCTGGGTGACCTGTTCCAGTGTTTCACCACCCTCACTGTAAAAAATAACATCCTTATATCTAGTCTGAATCTTCTTTTAGTTTAAAACTGCTAACCCCTTGTCCTATCACAACAGGCCCTATGTCATACAAGCAGAACTGGAAGGGGGTTTTTTTGGATTGTTAATATAGATTACTGGGGATTAGACTCAAATTTGTCATTTAAATGTACACACTGGAAGCTTTCTGAATTCTAAAAAACAACTGTTGTTATTTTCCTAGTACTTGCAGACCCTGCATTTACAGTCTTGCGATCTGCTGGATGTGTTTTGTGGAATCAGCTTCTTTCCACTGGATAAAATGACTTACTTGAAAATTCAGTCATTTGTTAATAGGATGGAAGAAAGCCTGAACATAGTCAAGTATACTGCATTTCTCTACAATGACCAGCTTATCTGGTAGGTACTTCAATAATTCTTGTGTCTTCAATTTCTCATCCTATAAATAAGTGCCATAATAGCAAAGCTGCTGAATCGGTGAAAGAGTTGCATGAAACTGAGAAAACTGAATGGTAGGGTGAGTGATATGTAAGAAAGACATTGGTCTTTGGCTTGAAAATCTCTAACCTGTAGCAAATTATTACTTCCACATTGGCCTGAGGAGCAGCTAGAGAAGTGTCCTTGTCATGTCCATCACACAGAGCCTCTGCATATACGCAAGTTCCTCTGCAGGACATTTCAGTAGAGAAGGTTAATTTAAAGGATTGGTTTTTATCTGATTCTGAATCAGAAAGTTGCAATGCTTGTGAAGAGTTCTACTTAAAAATGGCCTTAAGAATAGCAAATTTGATCTTTGTTTGTTTAAATATTATTTCTGTTTCTTTTCTTGTTTATGGCTAATTTAGATGTGTTTTGTATTCAGCAAATAAACTAACATTTTATTGAAAATTAATGTTCTGGGATTGAATCTACTGAGACACTGAAATGTTGCTACCCTAGTTTCGTGTATGTTTTGCCAGAGTTTTGGTTAAAGGAAAACATGTGATCTGAACTGCAGCACAAACTTCCGTTTCTTTTTCTCCCTGATGTTCTAGGAGTGGGTTGGAACAAGATGACATGAGAATTCTGTACAAATATCTCACAACATCTCTGTTTCCAAGGCACATGGAGCCTGAGGTACGGTAGTTGGGGCTTTTTGGGGGTGGAGGTAGGTGCTGGGGTTTTTTTTCTTCTTTTCTTTCTGTTTATCTGGTACCACTAAGGGCTAAAATACCGAAAGAGGAGTATCACTCTCTTCCCCCCTACCTTCTTAAATTTTTGTTTAGGAATTCTGAGATTTATTGCTTTTAGGGCACTTTACAAAACTGAGTAGTATTTGCACCTAATGCTTACAATATGAATTGTGCTGATAATTTGAATATGGGCTGGTGAATAGGGAGTTCACTGAATGTTGATACCTGATGACTGCTCAGCACTGCAAATGAATCACTTCAGCTTAATGGGTGAATGCAGTGTGGAGTGCCAGAAGACCATATGGAGTTAGTTATCCCTTCCCCATCAAAAAGCTCCATAAGCTAAGTTTTAAAATTAATAAATGCAAAATCAGAATGCCCTGTTCTATCACAACCTCTTACACTTTAGCTCTACCTCTTTCATGTTACGCAAAGAGTATATATCTTCATGAGTGGTAATTTCTGCAAATGGTTTGCTTTGATTTGATTTAAAGACAACCACAAAATGTAACAGGAAATACCTCTAAGCTGTTTTTTGTTGTGTATGTTCTTTTTTGGTTCAGTTAGCGGGAAGAGATTCTCCAATACGTGCTGAAATGCCAGGAAATCTACAACACTATGGAAGGTAGCGCTAGTTTCCTGTCACCATCTACTGCTTCTTCCCTCAAGGGCAAAATATTTGGGAGGAGTACATATTCCACACACAGTTCATTCCAGAGGGTCACACCGTAGTTGGTCCAATGTAAAACTTGACCTCTGGCGAAAAAAAAAAGGCTTCATGAACATTACTGCATATTTATTTTTCAAACTCCTCTTGGCTGATTTATTGTACTCTTTTGGGATTAAGGCATTGGCACACACTCCCTGTTTCCAACCGCCCTCCAAGTTTAGGTGCTTGTAATACACTCCTGTTGGAAAGCAAAGCACGAGTGCTTTCCCAGTAGCAACAAAAAAAAGAGTTGTTAAAGACAGTCACCACTTGAATGTGGAAGGAGTTTTGTTGTTGTTCCTTTGATGATTTGCACATTTTATTTCCTTGTCATTATTCTGGCTTTCTGATCCTGTTTCTGTAACTCTTTGGGGCATATATGTAAATAATACTTTGAAAATGTAAGAGTGCTGAGATAATATATAAAGGGCTTTATACCTATCTGCATAGCTGAAAACTCATTGCATTCAAATATATTCATACATGCAAGTAGTGCTAGTTTCAAAAACATCTGTTAAATAGGAAAAACTGAAATATAAGAATTCATCACATCTGACCTATCAAATTATTTTCTAGGTTTCTTACTGGACCTTTAAATCTTAATGATCCAGAAGCAAAATGCCGTTTCCCCAAAATATTTGTTAACACTGATGACACTTACGAAGAGCTTCATTTAATTGTTTATAAGGTATTACATTTTTCTTTGCAATTATTTCACAGAATTAGGAATCTATATACAATGAAAATGACAATGATGTGAAGTACTCATGGATTGTATGGAAAGATGCATTGATATAACCAGGTTGAAACAAAGAGACAGAAAACTCTTTGGTGTTCCTAGTTTTAAAGCTTGAATCCTCTTTTCCCCTTTCCTGTACCCTCCCCAACCAGCCTTCAGTTACTTTAAGGGGTTTCATACCTGGCTTTATGTAGCATTAATCAATAAAACAAAAAACTAATTTTTTAAAATGAAATGCACGTTCTTTGCAGACATATCCTTGCATGAAATGCTTTTTTAGCAAATTTTACCTTTCCTCTACAACTCAAAAACTGTTAACTGGTTTGTTTTAAAATCGTAACTATCCTGTGTTGCACAGGATTGCAAAGAGATTATCCTGTTGAAGTGTTACCTTTAAACTAGTTTTTGACTGGTTCACGTGTGTGTGACCTCACTGAAATATTGTCATTTATTTGAGGTAGTTGAGGTAACCTGTTGTAAATGTGTTTTTTGCTTTAACTTTTCTGTTCCAGGCCATGAGTGCAGCTGTCTGCTTTATGATTGACGGTAAGTACCTATTACCAGCACTTACTTGGCAAGACATAGTACAAAATGTTTATACATGCAACTTGTTTTGCTCTTGAAAAATATGTTAATTTGTTATTTGAATCTCTTCTTCATGAGTGCTTTTATCAGTCTTTTGATTTTTGTTGCAGTGGTATAAGTAACTAAATTTACACTATAAAATTACTAAATATTGCTTCAGTGAGACATGAGCTTTCTAAATCATCCATAGGGTTATAGTTAGGAGAGCAATTTGTCCCAAGACTCTTACTGATGTTTAAAGAAAACAACTACAGAAACTTTACCTTCAACTGTGGGAAGAGAATCTCATGTCTCCCTTTTCTTTACCTGCCACCTAGCTTCAATTCCACCTACGCTGGAGTTTTGCCGTAAACTGGACAGCATTGTTGGGCCTCAACTCACCGTGTTAGCATCAGACATATGTGAACAATACAACATCAATAAGAGAATATCGGGGTTTGTACATTTCTGTTCCTGTTGCAGTCCCTCATTAGTGGGTTAAAACGTAGGTTTAATGAACTGCTTAAGTAATGGCAACATGAGCCCAAATGGCGAAAGCATTGAGTTAACTGTGTACTTTATACCACGTTTATCTACCTTTCTGCATCTTAAGCATTTATAAAGTGCCTGTTGTTGCATATTTAGGTCTCTCTGAAGTAGTAACGTACACGTAATTAATTTAGGAACAAATGTTTATTTTCTGGGTCCATTTTTTCTTCTATGTGCGTAATTGTTGCAGAAAAAATCAGGTAAATACTCGGATAAATCTCACTGTTATCAATTGAGATTCTGCCTCCTCATCCGACAGCTGTCAGCAGATTATTCAGATACAAGAGGCGGAACTTCTAGGTTTTGCTTCTTTCATACGTGAACTGAAACTAGCAGACCCGTGGTAGAGATGAGGTCCTTGCAGAAATACATACAAGATGGCAAAAATGCAAACTGAGGTGGTAGTCTTCTGTCACTATCCCACATGTAGAAGTAGAGAAGTAGAAGTTCCTGATAAATCTTAACTTCTGTCTCTACTTTCTAATTTTTATTGAGAAAAACCAGAATCTCGTTAATGTTCACAAATGCCCTTCGGCTAGTAGAACATTTGAGTTAAAAAAAAAAAAGTTCCTGATAAATCTTAACTTCTGTCTCTACTTTCTAATTTTTATTGAGAAAAACCAGAATCTCGTAATGTTCACAAATGCCCTTCAGCTAGTAGAACATTTGAGTTAAAAAAAAATTAAAAAAAAATCACTGTTTTTGTGCTTATGTCCTTCCTCATGCTGATTTCCTTTGACTTCTGCTTTCCCAGGCTGCTGTTTTGTGTAATGATAGAAAAAGAACTGTATTTTTCACATCAAGTGGACACTTGACACTACTAGCTCTGTCTGAGTATTGCCTTAGTGACAAGTACTTATAGCTTGGGCAGACTGTATGTAACTCTAAACTTTGTTACAACTACAAAAGGAAAATGAAGGTCTAGATACTAGAACAACTTTTGTTGAACAGTTGGAAACGGGTATTTCAATGAGTGGATTACATGCAAGCTTTACAGTTGAGTACTTTTTTCCAGAATTACTGCTTCTTGAAGTGTTGCTGCGTTTTCTGTTTTGCCACGAGTAAGCGAACTACTTGAGAGGCAAAAAAAAAAAAAAAGTTAAATTAAAAAGGATGATAATGCCTTGGAAAATATACTTCACTTAGAATTACAGCTGACTTTCCATAAAATTGTATTTATTTTTAGATAGATTTGTTAGTTGGGGAAGCAAGAACAGCATCACCTATAACAAAAGATAGGTGTGTGACTGAACTCATTTAGTGGTAGCATGCCAAATCAGCAAAATTGCAGGGTATAGAATAGGATGTACTTGAAATTGTGCCAATCTACTAAATCATTAAACTTGGGGTTTTTTAATGTCATCTGGGACTGGCCTTGGCAGCTTTAACTCTTTTTAAAGTTTAATGCCATGGTGTCCTGAAAATGTGATACAGTTTCTTGATGCTAATGCATCTGGGTGACAGAGAGCAAGGGTATCTAGTTATTTGCTAAGGTGAGTGGTGTCATCACAGTATCTCTCTGATTCTAAATAATACATAGCCTGCAGTACCCATTGCTATAGCCAGTTTTTGCCAGTCTGAATTTGTTGTGACAGATTTTATATTAACTTAATAAAAGATGAAATGGGAGGAAGACTGCCAAGGCAGGAGTCTCTTGCTTGGCCCACAGAAACTATGGGGAGGCCGTGTTCTTTCTTCTGATTGTAACAAATAACAAAGCCATGAGTGGAAGATTACTTATTAACCCAATTAAAGACCTAGCATCCATTCAGACCAGATGGACTGGCATAGGGGAGCAAGGAAACAAAATGGGGACAGAAAAAACAGCTCATTAGGAAGATGCAAACTACTACTGGGAAGTGAGACAAGGCCTTTAGACTCCCCTGTGTCTATGTACTTAGCAGCCTAAGCAGCAGAAGGGGAAAAACTGGTTGGTTTTGCAGGTTGGTTTTTTTTTTCTTTTTAAATCCTGTTAAGATGAAGTTTGATCATGCCACAAGTCTTAATGTACTTGGTGTCTTCAACGGGAAGATAACTTCAGGATGCCTGAGTAAGCTTTGCACTGGCTGGCCACCTGTTTGCTGTGAAGCCTGTGCTTACAGAACATGTCAGTATTCACAAGTCACTTTGTTTTTTTTCTTAATCTTGCTAGGGCTGAGAAGGAGCCTCAGTTTAAGTTTATCTATTTCAATCACATGAACCTGGCAGAGAAAAGTACCATTCACATGAGGAAAACACCCAGTGTATCACTTGCATCTGTTCACCCTGACCTCATGAAGATTCTCGGTGACATCAACAGTGACTTCTCCAGGTAATGCTTAACTATTAAATAGTTTGTAACTGCTTCTGTCAAGTAGATTTTTTTTTTTTCAAATGAGTGAAGCTTTCATGTCTTTTTGCTCATGGATGGCTATGTGAGATAAATGGTGTAACGTGGGTCATATTTGGTGTTTTGTGTTGGTTTAGTAGTCTGTCTTAAACAAAACTTCTGTTGTTCTTTTAAAAAAATAATTCAAAGAAGGGCCAGGGCCTCTATCCAATAAAATATCTAATCTATTTGAAGCTTCAGAGTAACCATAGCAAACTTAAAAGGGATGTGAAGTCTACTGCTTTTGCACTTAAGTCTGTCCAAAGCAGCCATTTATGAATCCTTCATCCTGCATTGCTGAATTATGTCTAAGTTAGCATGGGTAGTCTCTCTTTGGTACTGTGCAACCGCAACTATGACATTACGCTGTCATTAATTTTATCTGTCAATGAAGTTGTTGAAGATGAACTTTCTGCCACCTTCTTTACTTTCTAAAACTTCTTTCAGAGTTGATGAAGATGAGGAAATTATTGTGAAGGCAATGAGTGATTACTGGGTAGTTGGGAAAAAGTCTGACCAGCGAGAACTGTATGTTATTTTGAATCAAAAAAATGCAAATCTGATTGAAGTTAATGGTAAGGATTGTTTTTTTTATTACCTTTAAATACAGTTACTACTAAAATATATGTCCCTGGAGAAGTAATAAAATCCATCTCACAAGAAATCTAGAGAGGGATTGATCTATGATTAGACCAGGTAAGTTTGCATAAAGTTTTTTAGTCTGCCTTTTACCAGCTGTGAAAGAACAGCATAAATATTCAGCAGACCTTCTTAATTATTAATCAGTCATTCTTCCTCCTTCAAATAAGAGAGCTCTGTGAGCTTAGTTTAGGAGTAATTAATGAAGTGTATTACAGGTGAGAGATGAACATATTTACCTCTGAGTTAGGTTTTATTTGTCAGTGATCCATGGGTTGGTTGCTTATATACAATGTATAGCCTATCCATGCTCCTCATTTCATTGTTGTCCTGTTTCTAATGCTGTTTTGAGAATGATTCACTATGACTAACAGTCAAATTAACATTAAGACCCAATAAGCTTTTAAACAGACTAAGAGAAAGGGCAGTTTGGGTCTTACTTGCAGCAATTTTAAGGCTCTCTGTTTTAAGAGAAGGCAACGTGCTCACTTGGATTATGGGAAAGAATTAATATTTAAGTTTAGCAACCTGAATTTTAAAAAGAGGATCAAGTTGCATGACCCAATGATTTGCAGTTGTCTTTCAGGATCAAACCTGCCCTACAGAAACAGTAAATGAGTACTTCAAGTACTGCTGCCCCTGAAGTATTGTCTGCCAAATAGCGCAAAGCAAAAGTTTTTCTGACTTGATTTATTGTACCAGACTACACTAATCCCTCTTCCCCTGAAGAGGGGTTACAAGCACCTTACAACACAATATACTTCTTTGTGTTGAAGCTAAGTCTTCTGCTGTTGCAGCATAAAAGTTTGACAAGGTGAACTCGAACCATCACACTTCAGCCACTGAGAATACAACTCATCTTTCAGACAGTGTGACATGTCAGACTTGACTCAACTTTCTCTCACTGAAGACAGAATAAAATTAAGTGTATTTCTACACTAGAAACTCCTAGGGGTTTTGTTTTAATTTAATTGTAGTCTCCTGGATGATGCCCAGGCTTTTTCTTGCACAGGTTCCTGTAAAATATACTGAAATATCTTATTTTTCTTTTTTTTTTACAGAAGAAGTGAAGAAACTTTGTGCAACACAGTTTAACAATATTTTCTTCTTGGATTGATCTGCTAAGGGCTGATTTATTGAAGATGTCAATGTCAGACACTTGTTCAACATGAAAACTTATTAGTCATATTATTGACTGGAATAATGACAATAGTAAAGCAATACTTGCTTTGTAAGAATCAAAATTTCTACTAAAATCTGTAAACTGACCATAAAATTTTTAGATTTTAAAAATGTTTATGTGCAAACTAATTAAAAACCAGTCTGAATTCATCTGTACCATTCCATTCTGATATCGTTATGTGAATATTTTACTGGAAAAATAAAATTAATAATTGTTACACTTTTAAGGGCATCTTTTTGTTTTCCTGTGTTCATTTGCATCATTGTGTGAGTTTCTGCTGATTTTCTACAGTGTGAAACTAGACCAGTTACAAAAGACCCCTGAACAAATAACTTTCTAGGTTGAGCTGTTCTTTGTAGCTGCTCCTTCAGCCTGATTTGCATTCTTTGTCAAATTCTTACTGACTTCTGGTAGTTTTGTTTAAAGGGTTACTCTTCTGTAAATGACACTAAGGGTCTTGGGAAAAAGAATATAGTAAGAACAGACAGTTTCCCTCTGAAACCAGTCAGTCTTGTGCATACAGTTTTATCATACTTGTATTTTAGACCTTACTGTACATGTTTTTTTTTGTTATTTCTTTTTTTATTCAAAGAGTATTCACTTACTTGAAGGCTCAGTAGTTCATCAGATTTATTTTTTCTTTCTCTTTTTGCCAGCAGGCACCTTGGTAACAACTGGGGGTGCTACAATGGGTGCCTCTTCCTTCACTGGGGGTACTAACTGCGCCACAGGCTCTGCACTCTCGGAGTCAAATGATTTTTCTCTTGCTGCTTCTTGCCTTTTTGCCTCTTCTGCTTCTCTTTCAGCAATAAGTCTGAGTGAACAAGTTTAAATTTAGTGTACTGCAAGGAGGGAGGAGGATGATATATACTGGCTAAGCAACTCCAGCTATATTCACAGTATGAGTAGTAGAAACTGGCATATTGTAGAGAAGCAGAAAGTCTGTGTAGTCAGTCGCTTCAAGTCTGACTTACAGTATGCAAAAAAAAAAAAAAAAAAAAAAGTCTTAACTGCTTTTACACAGACCAGGGCTCAAGTGCTAAGAAATATCACAGTTAAGAGTTCTGTAACGTGAAAGCAGCCTGTATTTGTTACTCCTGACAGTAACAGAAGTCACATGAGTTACACTCTGTATGTTGCTTATTATACCCGGATGAGCTGTTTTCCCAGTTACAGCACGCTGTACTGCTTTATAAAAGCACACTTGTCATTTTCAAAAATTTTGTTCGTAGAAGATAAAGAGAGAACAGTACTTCAAGATAAGATACAATACTCACTTTGCCAGTTCCTCATCCTTGATCTTTCTCAGCTCAGCAAATTCAGCATCCCGTATTCGATTTTCTTTTATTTTTTCCCTCAGCACTTTTTCATGGTGGTAAGCTGGAAATAACTTATTTGTAAAAAAGATTTGCACCTGACACCTCCAGAGACTGAATTCTTTGTCTTGTTCAGTTTTGGCTTCTTTTGATTTATCTGCAACATGTAAATGAAGCATGTTTATTTAGCAGGGCACTTCTATTTCAGCATGTTTTGGACTACATTTCAGATCAGATATTCTGCAATGGGGAAGTCTGGCTTCTGCATGGTACAGAAGATGACAACTGTGAGAAACTTTTAACTGATGCACATGAAAGGGGATGGCCCTTTCGTGGGTCTTCAGAGTGACTTGTCCCTGGGAATAGCATCAAAAGAACATGAACCTTCCCCTTTAGTTCTATGAAAAATGTCTTCTATGGAAATTTGATTGCAGTTCAGTATCCATGACTCCTGTGCATGGGGGACTGGAGGAATGAACATGACTAGAACAGAATTGCCTGCAAGCATCCAATTGTCATGACTGTCAAAAAACAGGCCAGAGCCCATCTGATAGTTATTTAAGAAACAATGTTTTTTCAGATTTGTAACTTTTCAGTCATCAGATTTCAGTGAAAGAGCTAATGACCACACAGAAATCCTTGTCTGCCTATGGTCTTACCTTTGGGTTCTTTATCTGTAGACAAGATTTAACAAGCACTTAGAACAACCCAGACGAGATCTGCTAATCAGCCAGAAGGGAGATCGTATAAAAAGGTTATTAGCCTCAACATATGAAAATACTCTTACTAATTTCTTTTCTGCATGAATGCTGGCATGTCATAACATATCTTATTCCAGCTAAAGGTGGCACATCATTAATAATAATTCTTGTATTAAGTAAAAGAAGCAAGTCATAGCAGTAATATCTTTTATTTATCCAAGAGATTTAAAAAAATGGGCAGGCTTGCAGACTGAGCTTCCCATAGAGCAAATACAGTTTCTAGATGCCCTACAAATAAAATGTGGCATTTTAAAATTGGAGAAACTATTTAAGTCAGTACTTAAACTTCTCAATTATTAAGTTTCATTTTCTTTAAAAAATTTATTTTAAAAATCTTCTTTAAAAAAATCTTCTCCAGAATTAATGTTCACTTACTGCCCTCTTGTGACAAGCTGAAATCTGCATATACAATTAAAATTTTGCAATTGAAGAGGTACAAGAGGTTTTTTTGTGTTAAATCTTAAAACAGTAGGACTGCTTTACCTGTCAATTCCTTTGCTGGACAGAAATCTTGTTCTTTTTCTGCATCCCAGCTGAAAAATGGCAGAACAGCTTTGATATCTCCATGAGTTTTGTGAAATGGGAGGACAGCATCTGATATGGCAAAGAAAGAAAATTAAAATTACGTGGTCTGTAATTCTGTGCATTAAATATCAGGTTTGATTTTCAGCACAAAACAATATAAATTATCATCTGACCTTACAGCTAGACCTATGGTTGAAATAATTCTGTACTGATAAAGTGTTTATAATGAAGGCACAGTGCAGCATTCAATCTCCCGCTTCCATGCCCAAATGAGTGGGACAAACAGGAGGAATGTAGTTTTTAAAAGCCTTTAAGTTATTTTTACGGAAAATGTGATAGCTTCTAATTAAAAAGTGCAAGAAGTTCAGACTCAAACTTGCCCAGCTATCTGTGTATAGCAGGTGTGGAAAGCTGAATGTAAACCTTGTCATAATTGCCGAACTGAATACAGCTACCCTCTGTAACTGCAATACATCCAGCTGTTTCAATGATCAGCTACTGTGTTTCAATCATCTTTAAAGGTGTAGAAAGAACGAACCTCCTGTAGCACCACTGCTTATAGATGCTTATGGTAACTGCAGTACTCACCTGGCAGAAATTCTCGACAAGGATGCCCTCTGTCTTCACAAGGTCTCAGTGGCTGGCAAGAAGTTTTAAATTTAGTTACTAAATGCCTGGACTTACATTTAAATTAAAAAGTGAAATCACATGTCCATTTGAGCCATGCAAATTCATATCTCAGCCAACCAAATGCATTCTGCAATTGTGCCTATTTCAAAACATTTCAACTGCAATAGTGTTTCACACTTTCGAGTGTTAGCAAATTGGTCCTAACACTTTACCTTTGATACCAGCAGGGAAGTAGGATTATCCTATTTCATTAGAAGCACAGAGAATTAAAGCTCCTGTTCTTAGGCACGTGTCCTGGTTTTGATCGGGATAGAATTAATCTTCTTAGTCCTAGTACGAGGCTGTGTTTTGGATTTGTGCTGAGAAGAATGTTGATAACAGTCTGATGTTTATAGTTGTTGCTAGGACAGTCAAGGACTTTCCAACTTTACGTGCTCTGCTCGTGTGCAGGTCCACAAAAGAAGCTAGCAGGGAGCATTGGGATTCAAACTTAGGTTTAGGATTGAGGCCCAAATTGGCCAATGGTACATTCCATATCATGCATGTCATGCCCAGTATATGTCTGGAAGCACTCTCTCTTCTCAGGCTCTCGGGCTCTTATCTCTTTTCTGGGATTGTGGTTTCAGGATTTTTTCTGCTCTGGCATTGTTAGCTGGAAACGGGCTGGGCCTTGGTCATCAGGCAGTGAGCAGTTGCACTGTGTATCATTCATTTGTATATTTGTAAATTATTACTATTATTATAATCATTATTATTATTTTCAATTTTATTATACTTCAGTTATTAAAGTGTTCTTCTTATCTCAATACACAAGATTCCTTTCCTTTTACCCCTCTAATTCTCTCCCCCATGGCGTGGGAAGGCGGAGGGTGAGCAAGCGGCTGCATTGTATTCACTGCCAGCTGGGTCAAACCATGACAGCATGTCCCTCTGTTCGTACATTGCTCTATCATTCCTCTGCTCCTGAGGAAACAATAATTAATTTATATTCCTGACTATAGGAATATACTCCAGTGAAAAGGAGAGAACAAGATTCAAGAGTGTATCTGAGGAAGATGCTTTGAAATCTTTCCAACTGTCATCCCAAGCATCTTCTGCAGCCTAATGATGCCACTCTTTTCAGACAAGTGACAGTAAAAGTCTTGCAAAAATTCAGATCAGACAATTCTGTTTTCTAAGTGTTGGTATATTTTCTAAAAGTCAACAAGTTCCCAAATTCTCTGTCTGATTTCAATGACTCCAGTACAAAACAGCAATCCTTACTATCTTACCCTGAAATGATAGGGGTAAGACAGTGCATTTTTTTTTTTCTTGGAATATCAAGATTCTCATTATAGTTGTACACTGGGTACAACATTGTAAAGGCAGTGAAGGTGAAAAGTTTGCCAGAAGAATTCTAAAAAGTGTTTTAGGAATTGTATTACAGTTGCCTTCTCCAGTGCTTCTAAATCTCTCTGCTCACTTCTCAGCCTCTCACTCCCCACCTTGCAAATAAAGATAAATCTGTAGCTTTATTCATGACCGTTTTATTTAATGTAGAAGATACCACCCAATATTCTAAATAATAGCCAAGGGTATGCTGGGAGCAAATGCTTTGTTAGCAATGGAAATGCACCACTTCTAGGCTCATACATTGATCCAGACACGGGAACACATTGTATTTAATATTAAATGAAATTCTAGTCCCTTTTAAAACTTAACACTATCTTGACTACTCTGTAACCCATAAATTGCAAACCCTCTGCTCCATCTTTCAGTGTGGGCTTTTTACATACCTTGTGTTCATTTATTTCAACGTGTGAAATTACACTTTCGCTTGAAGACCAACATGAAGGAGTGTAAAGCTCAGCTGCCTTGGAAATTTCATGGTTTCTGTCTGTACCCATTATACTTCTGTAAGTGCACTAATAAAAAGTAAACATAAGAAGAATTTTACATTCAATAAATTTTAAATTAAGATTTTAGTCTTGGAAAATCTGAGTATTTTAACT